CCCCTCTGTATTTACAAAGACTTTGTTTCCATTTTTTCATTTTCTCATATTAATTCCACTCCCTTCTTTCCTTTCCCCTACCCTCGCCATTTCCCCTTCTGAGTAGTTGGTTTTTGAAAGCATCATTATCTTTTAGTTCTGAAATTCTGTCCTCACACTGGTTGCTTTTGCTGCCCATACTTTCAGTATAATTTTTAATCTCCTGGATTGCTCATTGAAGCCCTTTCATGGACTCTAAATCTTTGCTAAACTTGTCATTCATGATTTTTTATCATTTTGATTAGCTCATTTAGTTTTTTATTATGTATTCTGAAGGCCCGTGGATCATTTTGGTTATTACTTCCATTATCTGTTTAGTTATATTTTTTGTGATCTCCCTGAATACCTCTTCCATCTGTTTTCTGATCTCCTCACTTATCCTTTAATTTGGGTGTGTGCCTTATGCTGTTCTGTTCCTTGGTGCCCCTTGGATTGGCTTCAGGGGAGTTGGGAGTTTAGGGAGACATTTTGTTGAATTTCATGTTTCTGTTGTTTTTGTTTGTTTAGAATTGGTGACTTTGAGAGTGCAGTTTTAGGTGACCACAAGGATAGGACACAAGATAAAATGTTAAAATTTTAAAAATAAGTAGAGAAACTTAACAACAGATGAAGAAATTAAGGCAGAATTCAAACCTCATTATTTTTAAAGGAAGAAGAAAAGCCAGTAGAGGTAGAAAGAGTGAAAGGGCATTGGTCTTGGACCATCCATTTGCTACAGAGGACGTGTCACGTGGTGCTACTCTAGTAATGAATATGATGAAGCTCACTGAGTAACCCTGTATTCAGAAGACACGTCTGAGGGGAAGTGCTTGAGTTTTTCATGGAATCATTATCTCACCAAGGGAAAACACACTACCAAGGAGGCAGCTCTGAACTCCTGTGGTATTTCTTCACATATAGATTAAATGAGTCAATAATGAATGAAATGCAACTAAGCACACTCAAAAGCAAAATAATTCTGTTATATTCTATCTTAGTTCCTTTTCTCATTCCTGGGACAAAATATCTGATGCCCCAAGTTAAAGGAGGAAACGTTTAGTTAGCTCACAGTTTGTAGAGGTTTCTGTCCGTAATTGGCTGGCTCCAAGGTGGGTGGCATCGCAAAGAGTTCATGGCAGGCAGAAGGTAGCAAAACACGAAAGGGACAAGACAAGCTTCTTTCTGCCCCCTATATTGTATCTAGGCTACCAGGATTAAGACAGTGCCAAACCCATCAGTGGACTGATTAGTAGGTAATTACCTACCTTTAATCCTAACACCCTTAATTCTAGCATTGCACCATGAATCAATCACACATTCTAGATTCAGCTACCTCTGAAAAAGCCCTAGCTATGACTGCATGAGGTTTTTAGGGGACATCTAGATACAAGCCGTAACATATATATATATATATA